GGAGAAGTTCAGCTTAAACTGGATCCAAATCGGTCCATCCTGGTGTTGAACCCAAACCCAGTTTGCCCCAAAGGTTCTTCACAATGATCCAAGATCCAAGTCAGATGAGAAACAATAAGCTGTTGGATGATGGGGTGTACTTACTTTTTAGCACATCAGTCCCTCATGTTGGCTTCAAGTTTCTTCTGCTGTTTTTGATCATTTCAGATCCATTTATTACATCCTGATGTATCAAACCTGAGGAGTTATTGTTCATATAATAAATGTAAACATAAAGCTCTGTGCTTTACTTTATCCATCCATTTTCTGAACACCCTTGTCCCTCAGTGGGGTCGGGAGGGGTGCTGGTGCCTATCTCCAGCTAACGTTCCGGGCGAGAGGCGGGGTACATCCTGGACAGGTCGCCAGTCTGTCGCAGGGCAACACAGACACACAACCATGCGCACACACACACACCTAGGGGCAATTTCGACAGACCCATTAACCTAACAGTCATGTTTTTTGGACTGTGGGAGGAAACCGGAGTACCCGGAGAAAACCCACGCATGCACAGGGAGAACATGCAAACTCCATGCAGAAAGACCGGGGCCGGGAATCGAACCCAGAACCTTCTTGCTGCATGGCAACAGCTCTACCAACTGCGCCACTGTGCAGCCTGGTTTACTTTATATTATATTATATTGTTTTACAGCCTGTCTGGACATTAATTTAAGTGTTTATTCAGGTTCTACAGCGCTGATGCTGAGAACCGTCAGGACTCTGATTTATGGATTTGACCTTTTCATAAACTCCTTACTGCGCTGCATTCACTGACACCAGGAATTCTGAGTTTTTCCTCACTAACTGGAGAAGACAACGTAACGGGAAGTAGATTCCCTCTGGATCAGGACGGCTTCTTTAACTCAGACTGACCTCAAACTCCATGACTCACCTGCTTCATCATCCTGTTCTTAAAGAGCAGATCACAACAGTGTGTCGCTGTGCTGTGCCTCCCCCTGCTGGACGCAGACAGGAAGTGACAGAGGCAGCAGTGTGGAGACGGTACCGGGTATGAGCGTCCTGCGGGCCATGGCGGCCGCCTTGTGGGACTCGTACTCCACGAAGGCGAAGCCTCTGTTGCGGCTCTTATCCATGGAGCTGGGGTAGACGATGACATCCACCACGCCGTCCGTCACCTGGGAGCACACACACACACACACACACACACACACACTCTGACTCATGAGGACAAGCTGTCACTTTAAATCCAGACACACGACAGCAGCTGCTCTGAGATCAGCTGGACTGACAGGAGAGAAGCAGCAGGACATGAAACAACCTGGACAGGTGAGCCTCTGATTGGCTGATCGTTCGCATTCAGGTTGGATGAAAGTTTTTACTGTCATTTTAACACTATGACAGGAGGAGGATTTAAAGAAATACCGCAGGTCCATGAGTAGCTCAACACATTTAGTTTGAATTGAGAGTAAACTAAAGGTGTGCTCCCCACCTTCTTCATCTCCTCCATGATCTCCTCCTTCTTCTTGTCTTTGGGGATGGAGCCGATGAAGAGGCGGCAGTTGTCCAGACTCACGCAGACGCCGATGAACTTCCCGGGTCGGACCTCACAGTTGTCCAGCATCTGGATGGCCCGCTGAGCCGCTTCTCTGGACCAGAACCGACAGCGTCATTCATTAACCTGCTCAGCTAACAGGGCGGACCGACGCAGTCACAGAGCGCCACCTGTTGGTGTACATGACGAAGGCGTAGCCGCGGTTCTCTCCGCTGAACTCCATCATGAGGCGGAACTCGTAGATCTTGCCAGCCTTCTCGAACAGCGGCACCAGCTCGTCCTCGAACATGTCCCTGGGGATCTTCCCCACGAAGACCTCGCAGCCCCGTGGCGGCGCCGGCCCCTCCCAACCTGCACCGCACAACCAGGGTCAGAGGCTCATCTACCACGGATAACGGACCAGTAAAATCTGCAAATGTCAGAGGTCACTAAAATACCCAATATTAAATAGATACAAACCTGCAGCACTCTGCTAGTCTGGAGAGCTGCCACTAACGACTATTTCTGGTAATTGGTTATGCAATTAATCAAATATTCTGTCTATTCTTCTAATATTCAGATAGCTAATCAATTACTCTGATTATTACTCAAATATTCTGAGGAATAATTTAATATTCCGACGATTAATCAAAAATTTTGGCGATGATCAATTATTCTGATGATTAATCAAATTTTCTGACGATCAGATAAAAATTCAACTCATTCTGCTGATTTTTCATAAAACCACTTAAATTTATACAACATTAGAAATACGTTAAAATTTAAACGTGACACCACAGACTGCTGGACTTCCGCTGTGCCGTTTATCTCATCATTTATCATCATAAATTTCTTGTCATGATAAAAAATTCTGATTTATTATTTTGGAAAACTGAAAACTTTGTTTTGAAATCCCAATAAAATGAATTAAAGTTTGTTGTTATACGGTGAGAAAATGTTGGAAACGTCAGCGCTGTAGAGTGAAGCTTTAAGCTCATCGTGTTTTATTTCCTGTTTGGACTCTGGTTTACCTGGCGGCGGGCCGCCGTACTTCCTCTGGCCGTTCTCCTGCACCATGTTGTATCCCGTCTTCTCCATCAGAGCCAGCAGAGCCATCTCCTTCGCACACGATACCCTGAAGTCGTCTCTGTTCGCCGGCAGGTCCACGTCCCCAGAGTCCCCGTCCAGGTCCTCGTCGGACGACCTGTCCCCGTCTGTCCAATGAGAAGCACCAGCGTTAGCTCACCAGATGCAGGACAGCCTGACTGTCATGTCAAATGTTATAAGAAAGTCTAAATCATTACGAGAAAAAGACAAGAACTCTTCACAATGACCTGGAGTACAGATGAATACAGTTCAACTTCTTCTTGTTGAAATTAACTTAGATCATTTACAGAAATCCAAAAATACATTAAATCAACATGTTTGTGCTTTTACAAACTTAGTAATGTTTTCATAAATCACCAGTTGGATTTTTCATTGCAGAATAATTCAGTTCTGGTTTCACTGGCCAAACTAAGGGAGGCTGTTTGATAAAAAGAGCTTGTAACAGGGTTAAAATAATACTATTATTATTATTATATTGCTACTCACCACCTGGAGTTTTTAGTTAATCTAAAAATATTAATAAACCTCAAACATGAAGGTTTAAGAAAGTAACAGTGAAGTTTTAGCTTTCTTAGGGAAATATCTATATGTGAACAAATATTGGGCAAGTAAAAGAAAAACACACATTTTCACATCTCGTTGGCATTTTCATCATTTTTCAATTAAAATCAACTCAAAACTTTCATATTTCTGACATTAAAAAAACAAAACAATCAGTGACCAATATGGCCGCCCTTCTTTCAATAACAGCGATTGGCTTCCATTCAGAAAGTAACCATGACTCCATTCAGAGTTTGTCAGCTCCAGCCTCTGTTCAGAGAGCTGGACTGGTTTCCTTCACTGGAAATCTCCCGTTTACGACCCGCCCACCAGTTTTAATTGGGTTCAGTTCAGGTGAGGAAAGGCCCATGCTATCAGTTTTACTTCTTTCACACGTTTATTTTCTAGCAAGAGGAGGAATTGTTTGAAAAATGGACACTTCTTCCTGAACCAATGATGGAAGAAAGTGTCTAAAAACTGGCAGAAGGGTCTGGAGTTAATTTTGACCCCATCTTCAACCTGAAGAGGTCCGACCAGTTCTTCTTTAATCAGACCAGCCCGTACCAGTACCCCACCTCCACCTTGTTGGCATCAGACTCAAAGTGAAGCTCTGAGCCAGTTACTGATCAACCCACGGACTGCTCTTCTGGTCTAATAAGAGTTACTCTCATTTCATCTATTAAGTCTTTGAACAATCTGTGTTTTAGTGTTGCTCCAGTTTAGACTCCTAATAATAACACACACCTCGATACAGGGTGTTAATCTTTTTAGGCCACACCCTCGCTAATTATACAAGAAATATCAACTGCAATGCTTAAATTCATTAAAGTTTATCCAGCTTGGAATTGGGAAAAATGCCTAATAATGATGATATGGTCAAATTACTCATTTTCTTAAATATTTCACAGACAGTGTAGAGCTGATTTAAACCAGTAGTGACAGCTAAAATAGAAAAAGTTCAAATTAATTTTTTTATCACAATTAAATAAACTTTCAGTATCTTTATCGTCAATTAAGCAACATTTTCACCAGCTAAACTGACATAAACAGCCATTAAAAGTTAGCTAAACATGCTAGCGGCTCATCAATATAAAGATGTGACGTTCCGAAAATTTAAGTTTGTTAAGCAAGTCAAATTATTTTCTAAAACTGTAGCAAACTACTTAAATTAATCTCTCACCGCCTCTGTGCTGTGGCATTTTCCCCTCTGAGTGAATTATTCGCCTTTTTTTGCGGTAATAAAACCTCAGGAGAGACGAGCAGAGCTCCGGTCTTTGGTCAAAACTTCGCCGGGAAGAGAAGGAAGGTTGCCTGGCAACGGGGAGAGCAGTTCAGAGCCGTTCGAGGAAGCGGAGCCTTACGCGACTTACGTTTAGCCAATCAGTGATGAGCTTTTCAGTGCGGAAGACGGCATCAAATGGGTGCGAAAATAAAATAAAATATTTTTTTTCATTTGCTTTACACCTGTTCTTTTACGTAGAACTCTAACAACTAATTTGACTTTAAGTTAAATTAAATTAAATTAGCTTCATAGTGTGGATCGCGAGATCCAGGAGAGGTGGAAATAATAATAGAAAAAAATTTAATTAGTTAATTATTTACTGAATTATTTTCCCTTTAAACAAAAAAAATAAACAAAGTAAAACTAAAATAAACTTAAAGTGCCACTATACAAAACTAAAAAAAGGAAGAAATTATTTAATCTGTTAAATAACTGAAAGAGGAACAAGAAGATAAATTTAAAATCTTACACCAAATAAAAAATTTTAACAAAAACATGAGGGGACTAAAATGTTAAGTTAATAAACCTTTTTTGCACATAAAGATGGAACAATTTTGTTCAATTGTAGTTTTGTATTATGTGATTGAGAGAGCGAGAGATGAATGGAGGGTGTTTATCTCTCAAGAATAAATCAATTAAAAGGAATGGTGTATGAAACGACATTTAGAATGAGTGCAATACGAAGAAGGTGGATTTATGAGAATGTTCTGGCAAAATCCATCCATTGAGACATCTAAATACTGAACAAATTTAAATAAATAAACTTTTATTTAACAGGATATCCTTGATATCTATTATAAATCAAAAACAATGAACGATTCAGTGATGAAAACAATCAAGTCTAATTTAAGCTTCAGATTGGATTGTAGGTCAAAGTAAATCATCTCTGAGGATTCGGGTCAGGTTCCGGGTCAGTGTGTCCAATCAGGAGGCCATCCAGAGGAGGAAAGGCAGCAGAACCGCCAACAGGACCGTCCAGGTGTCCATAACCCGCAGGTAGACCAGCAGACAAGCAACCAGCACTGCCGTAACCTTGGCGACGCCTCGACTCAGCAGCAGCTTCCTCATCGTCTTACAGAACTGATGGAGACAAACCAGAGAACCGTCAGAGCCGCCATTTTGCTTTCCTCTGCGGTTTTCTATGATCTGTTTTTCTTCATTTCATCTTTTCTTATGTTTGGTTCTGTTGTCACTTAAACTTCTTTAACTCATTGAACTAAAGTACAAGTTTAAAGTGAAATAGGATATTATTCCTGGAGGGAGGAATAATAATAAACAGCTCAAGTCTGCATTTAAATGCAAAATTGTATCACATAAATCCACGCTATATAGAAACAGCCACTAGATGGCGACATTGCACCGACGCTGAGATGATTCCGTTGATTATTTAGATTTTCTCCAAACCAGCTGATAGAAACACGTCTGATTGTCATTTCCCCCCTTTTTTCACGACATGACAGTTGGATAGAAACCAAGCTAATGAAACTCCCTCGGAGCGATTCTGAGTTCTCCAGCAACACTCAAAGAAAACCAAGAGAGTCTGTTTCTTGATGTCAGCAGTCGTTCCTATGGTGTGGGTCGTGAAGATTATCCTCTGCGATTGCAGCAGCTTTGAACATTATGTTCCTGACATCCACTAAATGAATGTTTGTGTAATCCTGATGTGATTTTCCTTCTCTGCAGCCTGCCTGCAGCTCCACTGATGCAGTTTCAACCCCTGTTCTCCAGCTCCATGCAGCCTGGTTGGCTCCTTCTTAATTCCTTCTCAACTCTCAACCTCCTAATCACACAGAAAATCTGCTGAAACAATGAAGCTTTCATAGACGAGCGGTTGCTGCAATGCAAAGCCTAACCCAACTAGAGAAAGACGCTGGTCTGATCGGTGATCGCTGTTAATCTGCCACCGGGAGCAAAGGTTGCAGCTGAAGGTTAAAGTGTTGCTGGAAAACCTGAGAACCCACAAAACCGAGTCGCTTTTATTCTCCATCTGGGTTTGTAATTCCCAGTTGGAGAATGGCTGAATTTGGACTGTACTGTGAGGGTTTCCTGTGTAGCATCACCTGGAAGGTCTGGAAGCTCATGACGGTGCCGTATCGGCAGTACATGACGAAGTGTTCGCAGTTGTACCACAGCAGGCTGTAGGCCACGTCTCCCAGCAGCTTCTCGGCGCGCCGGGCCACCTCCTCCCCCTGCAGCGCTGCACAGCTGCACATCTGAGGGGAGAACACACATAAAACCTGGATTAATACCATCAAGAAACCTCCAGATTCATTCCAGGAATAATCCAACGTGGAACAGACTCCAGAGCAAACCCAGAACCAGAACCAGAACTCCTCGTACCTTTAAATACCCTTGGTTTATGTCCAGTCAGTCAGTCAGTCAGTCAGCTGGATTTATGGATAACTAACATAAACCCTCTGTTTTCTACTGTATGACTGACTTCAGAGCTTTAAATTCTGAATCAGGAAGTTGAACCAGGATCACCTTGTCCATGGGGTTGATGATTATATCGGCTCCGTAGGCGAAGTCTTCCACCGAGTCCATCCTCACGCTGCCACACTGCACACAAGAACAAGTTAGACTCAAGTCCTCCTTAACTTAAAGACATTACAAGACATTGCTATAAGAGTTAACAGCTAACACGACTGATGTCATCTGTTCTGGTCTGGTCGGGTCCACCAGATCAATCTATGCAAAACCAATTGATTTTGACAAAGCCCTAGAGTCTCACATAACGAGGACAGCAAATTAAATCATATTTAAGGGCCTAATGGGGTCCGAACACAATAAAACAGGCTGATGTGTTTATGAAACAGGCGTTAAGCTGTAGGAGTGTTTTTGTTTTACATTGTAACTGCAGAGCAACACTGCCACCCACAGGTCACAAGGGAAACTGCAAGATTAACTTTAAACAAAAGAAAGGTTTAATGCTGCCAGTGTTGCTGTGAATGATGATACTATTTTAAAAATCTCTGTTCACTCTCATAGATCCTTCAGAAAATAATGAAGGACAAGGAGGAAAAGAGTCCATGTCACCTTAGCCAGTACTCCCAGTATGAGTCTGGTGTTGGTGACCATCTGTTTGATCCGAAGCTGGTTAGTGGAGACAACGGGCATGATGTCAGGGATGAAATGAGCCACTCTGGAGGGAAAAATGGAGATAACAATAAATAAAATAACAGACAGACAAATGAAAAATAAATGTTAAAAATGAACAAAAAATGGATTGACAGGAAAATTTAAAAAAGAAAGTGAAGAAACAGAACAAAAAAGTTAAAAGTAAATTATAGAAAAGACAAATCAAGAAAGTAAAGGAAAGAGGAATAGAGAAGAATATGTCTGAAGGGCAGAATGACGTCACACATCAGAAAGAAGTAACGTGACAAAAACTAGAAATATTCAAATTCCCCATTTTTACCTCCTGACCAATCAGAGCGCAGCGTCAGACTCACCTGCCTCCTCCCAGGTAAATCCCAAAATGAGTGAAGAGAGTCCGGGGAACTTCCAGCAGGTCTCCCCTCCTGAACATCAGGTCATACCTGTTCTTCTTCTCCTCCTCCTCCTTCTCCTCGGGTGAAGGGTCAGCTGTTGCCGAGGAGACGAAGATCAAAGCGAGGAGCCGCAGCGGAAACATGGTGCCGGAGACGCGGGTCGCAGTGAAACTGGAGGTTTTATCCAGCCGGTGGGAGGAGCAGAGAGGAGATTAGAGTCTGATTCTGACCGGAAATCAGAGGAATTCACCGCAGACAGGGGGCGCTGTTTGCTTTACCTTCAGAGGTCTCAGCTCTGACTGCCTGGGGTCACAAAGATAAAAACAGGATAAAAAACTTTATATCAACCTTAGTGATATAAACAGCACATAAAGCACTTCACAGACAACTTTCAAACTACTGTCATAGAAAATCAGAAAAAACTGACAAAAATTAAATAATGTACAAGATTCATCCACTGAAAAGGAAAAAACACCAACAAAAAAAAGATTTAAAAAAAAGCAATAAGTGCCAAAACTTTTGTTCCCCCTGCGGAATAACCACATCCTGCTGGTAAAGTTACCTCTGCAACAAATGTTTTAAAATTATTCCAGATAGATCAATATGACACAGTAACACCTGGAACAAGGTGAGCCAGATCTCCATGGCAACCAGAAGCACTAGCAAAACGAGCAAACAGACGTGAAACAATAAAACATGCAAAATCTGCTAACAGGTGAAAAATAGCCTTACATGTGAATTTCATGGGATTTTTTGTAAGGGTAGAAAAAAAAACAAGATAAAGCAAAAAGTGTTTAACAATTAAAAACGTAAAGCAAGATGAGACCCATAAAAATGGCTGGAATGAAGTCAGAAAATACACATAAAAGACATAATGAACAAAAACAGGTGCAGAAGGAGAACAAAAACACTTCAGTTAGGAATTAGAAACTACAAGTTTTCTGGTCCAACATCAGTGTCTGACCTCATAAATGCTCGATGGTCAATGATTCCCACAAAGAAACTAATAAACTTTATGGAAAATCTTTCCTGGAGATCTGAAGCTGTTTTGGGCTGCCAGCGTTTCAGGCTCTGCAGATGAAGAACGGGACGTCTTCATCACTGACCCAACCCTGCTCTGGGTCTGCAGCCTCCTTCTCAGCCAGCAGGGGGCGGCAGGCTCCAAGGAGCCCAACGAAAGAATCAGGCCAAATAAATAATGTATGAACTTACTTCATTATTATAAACAAATGAGCTTTTGTCCGTTTTTAATTGTTTATAAAGTTTATTTTTAATCTATTTTGCTTATAAAATAACCTTACTGATGTCATCATGTTTATTTTAAGCTCAAATGTATTCTGGTGAACAAAAGTCAACAGGCGACCAAAGACCTACAGAACCAATAAACATAAATAAGAGAACAGAATTAATAAACACAGCAGATTAAAATAGTTTCCATTCATTTCTTCTCACACAGGGAAGTAAAGGAATATTTGATCTGAAGAAAATCTGCTTTTAGTTTCATTTGATTGAATCTGGCAGGTCAACAACTGTTTCCACTTTTCTCAGCAGCCAGAGGAAATAATCTTTCATGACATTACAGCAACCAAACTCTGATAACAGCAGAGCAGCTAAACTAAAATGAGTTCAATGGAGGAAAAAAAACTTCAAGCAAATTTCAGTTAAACAACTTGGAAAGAAAAGTCCTGACAGCTTTTTAATTTATTTTAATGACTTTCCTTCAATCATCTTAGTGATAATTTTGAAGAAATTTTCATATTTTAATATGTAAGTGAAAATAAATTAAAGATTTATAGAATGAAAATCAAAGATGAGTAAATTTGTTATAATAAATGTAACAAATGAGAAAAAAACACACATCCGCTCTTCTTCTATTTCCTTTATTTACACATTAAAACACAATATAACAAGTTATAAAACGGTAAAAAAGTTTGTGACTGTTAGGAAACAATCAGGTCCAGAAGGATATTTACAGATATTTACATCTTCACCAGGTTACAGTGCTGAAACAAAAACAGCAAAAAACCAAACAGATTCCTGACATGCTGCGTAGAAATGGAGCCAAACTTTATCAAAGAGCAGACTGGAGGGAAAAACCAAATGTTTAAACAGATTCACCTGTCAAAGATAAAAATTAGAAACAAAGCAGAGTTAATGTGAGATTTAACTAAAACTTTAGTTCAGAATCTTTAAAATCTGAACTAAAATGTTCAATTGGCTGTTTTGGTTTCTTTCTGTCTTCTGATTGGCTGATAATCATCAGATGAAGTTTCTATTCAGCAGGAGAGAAAATAAAAACAATAACAGAAAAAAAACATAATATCAAAGTGAGATGTGTCCAAACTAGTAGAAAACATTTTTACTTCCAAATCAATCAGACGAGGCGACAGTTTCCGTCTGCTCCTAAAACCCAAACGGTCTAGTGAAAGGCCAGATGAACAGAGTCTCTGGGTTTGTTGCCTCTTAGCTGGCCATCCACAGGGTGAAGGGGATGAGGGCGGAGGGCAGGGCGGTGCCGGCAGATACGCCCAAACACGCCATGGACAGGAGGCCCAGCAGGCCGGTCAGAACCACGCAGCGCTGGTCCCGGATCAGAGACTTCAGCCACTCACAGAACTGAGAAAGACACAGAGAACAGAAAAACCGCTCACATTAAACACATAACTATCAACTTATACAGATCTGAAAAGTGTGGGCTGCATTTTCATTTCGATAATTATGGAACCACATTCGTCTACTTTGCTCATCTAGACACACCTTCACCTTTCTGCTCTGCATAAAAGGTCATATTTCCTGCAAAAATGGACAAATTCTCCCGGTCACATGAAATCTCACCAAAAAAGCAGAAAGTTTGTGGTTGTAAAAATATTTACAGGAAAAACCTTCATCTATGAAAAAAAAAAAAAAAAAAACCTGCAGAGGAAACAAACAGTGCTGAACTGATTTTGGTTGAAAACCGGCTTTTCTAATCCACATTTAATTAAAGTTCATAAATGTTCAGAAACATGTTTTTATTAATGCAGTGCCTAAATATTTATCTCCTTCATAGGAAAACCACAGTTTGAACAAAGAGATTTCACATTTCTGACACTTTTGGACTTTATATAACACGTTGCTTTTCCTCTTGTATTGAACAGATATTTTTGCTTCAAACTGCCTTTCACATTAATTCACACTAAAATCACAAAATTTCCATGTATTTTCTCCCCCAGTGAAACATGGTAGTGGCAGTGTCATGTTAAGGGGTTTGCATTTCTTCAGCTGGTAGGAACTAATCAGATTTGGTCAATAACATAAAAAAATAATAAAATATATTGAACTGTGAGTTTATGACATGAGAACTAATTGAAGAGGGAATGAATATTTTTGCCAGGTTTTTGCTGCTCTGCGTAGCTTTGACTCTAGACACACGAAACAATGCAGAAACACCAGCAACACAAAAACCCCACAGAGGTTTTAGAAACGCTACAAATTATTCCCATATTTGTAAGTAAATGACATTTGAAATGCTAATTACAGCCTTAATAAAAGGCAGACTGCGGTTTCCCTCCTGCTGCTGCTGACAGACTTTTCCCTGCTTCAAGTTTCACTTCCTGTAATTTCCAAGCCAAACATCTGACCTGTGTGCCGCCTCGGAGAGAAGCCTGTAAAGGTTTAAGGAATGGGGGCCGAGGGCCAACAGGAGCTCTTAAAGGGGCCTCAGAGGGCCCCAGCGTTAAGTAAACATCAGGTTGGATTGCCCTCTGCTACCAGGGGTCAGCATGCTGCCACTCTGCTCACAGAGGTCTGATCAGGTTGAGGTTTAGCTCAGGTTTGTTTTCTAAATGTAAATAATGCACCAACGATCTGAAATCAGATGTAAAGTTTGATTGTGTGAAACTGACAGTGTGTGTTGTAGGCACAAAGCAGCAAAAAGGTAATTATTTATCATCTTTATTCACCTGGATGTTATTCATAAAAATGTTATTCAACGTTTATAAAACTAAACTCTTTGTGTCTGGAAGTTTCAGAGATCACACTGGTCAAGAAAACAACCTGATGCTAGTAGCTTTAAGCAGCTACAGAAGATTGTGTTACATTCAGTTGTACTGTTTTGTTTAGAGGCAATAAGGCTCACCACCCAGGGTGGCACACGCTCAGGGGTGGCATGCAAACTTACAGTACAAAGTTATCTGTAGGTTGTAACATAACTGTGTTTTCTAAGGCTTATCTTCATGTCCTGTCATCGGCAAATCCTGTGTTCAGCAGAGTGTTAGTAAGAAAATATGAATGCTTGTATTACTATAGTTTTCATAACTCAAAATTATGTGGAACAGAGGGGGTCCACTGTAATGATTAAACTATCCAGATTCCTCAAAACAACAAAGAGTCATTGAATGACCTGCAATGACTAAGACATCTTTTAGAAGTTTAGTTATTTATTTATTTTAATATATTTTTTATTTATGGGTTAGGGGGCTGAAAACTTTTCAGTACCTTCAAAACCGTCGTAATCAGTGAAATTCAGTATTAGGCTGAGTAATAAAGGCTCAAACAGGATGTGAAAAATGAACCTTCATTTGATTTAGAGCAGCAGAGATGAGTGAATTTATCCCAATCCAGCTGAAGAAGTCTCCTGCTGTCATGTCAGTGAAACACGTCCTGGACCGACCGCAGAGAGGCGTGGTCCTGGGCCCCGAGGAGCTGGTTTAAAGGGCCGGTACGGCTGTCGTCCATCATCATCAGCATCCTCAGTGCAGACTGAGTGACTCTCTGCTGCTGGCAGGCGGCTCAGGTCTGAATGCGGCTCTTGTTCTCAGGACTTTTCCGAGGAGCGACCCAGATTTTCCTGCTCCGTGTAAACCCGGCTCCAACGGAGGAGGACGGATGTGCTGATTGGCTGTTAAACCTCCATGAGCCATTATTTCCATCCTGAACAGTTCAGTTCTCCGGAGGAGCGGTTCACAGCGAGGTTTATCCTTCACATGGAGCCAAGGCACAGCATTTCTGCGTCATTTCACTGATCCACTCACAAATTAAAGTTAAAGTAGTTCAATTTATCAGGCAGAGATTTTTCAGGTATGAGATGATAAGATGGAGGAAATTAATCACCAACTATGTAAAAAAAAATTAGCTTGGTTAGTATGCTGCAATATGTTCACTCCAAAAACCAAGTACTTTTAGTTCAGTTTCTAGTCCAAATATCTTAGTGCGGTTGAAATAAAACAAAACTGGTACAGACAAAACTATTCAGGAAGAAATAAAAGCTTTTTTAAAATCAATAATTCTTGAATATTGATGAAAAAGTTATAGTTTCACCAGTAAATGATTTATGAATGGGAAAATGTCTTCTTACTAGGGAAATAATCTGTCAGTGAAATCAGAAGTTTTTCATCAATATTAAGGAATTACTGCTCAAATATTTTATTTCAAGTGAACTGAGATATTTGTAATAGAAACTAAACCAGATTTACTTGGTAAGATTTCATGTTTTTGCAGTGTGTTTTTTTAACGCAGGATCCGATATTTTATTACTTTGGAGCTAAAAATGAGAGACACACATTCAAAGAAGGACATCATGAAGAACAAACCATGTATTTTATTCTAAGTAATTAAATAAATAAATGTTGCACTTCATAGTTTGTCCTTGTTTACAATCTAATGCATTAAATATCCCCATATGAATGTCTGTCTCAAATTAGTCTTGGTTTCAGTGAGCAGATTCCCTCTTCTAGCATCTTTGTGTTCATCCAGAGCAAACAGGGTGCAGAGATGTTCTGCTGTTGCATTTCAGCCCAAAGCTGCAGCTTTGTGTGCAAAACAATGAACAAATCAGCAGATTAAAGAGTTAAATCCAGCAGAGATTCACCGCCAGCTGAAAGAGTAAAATCTGAATCATCACAACAAAGTGTTGGGACCCGTTGATGAACGGCAGGTTACACGTCTGAATGATGGAAAAGTGTAAATAAAAAAGAGGAGACCTCGTTGTTAAGGTCTGCTGTGCTGCATGCAGAGTGAGTCAGGATAAAGTTGTTTCACTAAAACCTTCAGTGTTTTATGAGGCTGCAAAGTCAAACATGCGTGAACACATGTGGCCTCCTGCTGCAGGACGTTATGTCCAATAAAACACACGGATTCCTGTGTGCAGGAAACTTCTGCAGACTTTCAGCGGCAGGTCAGTATGGCAAGCCATTAACAATAAATATCAGCATAAACAAATTATGTAGAATTCATGATTTAACTTTTAAAGAGGCTATAAAAGATTACGAGGAAATGTTTTAGGCGCGTCGGTGGTTTAGTGGGTCGAGGTCTGGACCATGCTGGGTTTGGTTCCAGGCGTCAGACTGTTTGATGCATGATCTCTGTCAACATGGTGCAAAACACAAACACGAAGCGTCACAAAGAGATTTTATCTGATCATTACACGGCTTCTTGTGTCTGCAGAGAGTCAGTCATGTTCAGGTCATACAAAGACAGAGTTACCTTCTACTCAAAACATGAAACCCAAATAAATCCATAAAAATTAGTGTGTGTGTTATGGCTGAAATGATTAACTGGATTAATAAATTATTGAAATAACTGTCAACTAATTTAGTAATCAATTAATCATTAACTGGAGTATACAGACTAAAAAAAAAAACAATATAAAAAACTGAACAATAATATCTACATGTTGCATTTAAAATAAAAACATTTTTTTCAGCATGTTTTAGCCAAAACTCCTCAAGAGGAGTAGCTTTAGCTTCATCTGCTACGGGAGAGCATTTTAGACAATAATATGTTTATTTTTATTTTAAGAATGGCTATTTATCAGTTATTTCTATGTTAGACAAATAGTGGTTTTTGGCAGCAATGGCTTTCCATACTAATTAATAAAATTAGGTGGAATTAGTGTATTTAAACCATCACTTTTGCAGTTTTTCGATGCAGATGGTATTTTGGTGAATGCGTGTGGGTGTGTGGGGTCAAAGGGCAGCTCACCTGGTCGGTCTGCAGGCTCTGCGCGGCCCCGTAGCGGCAGTAGGTGACGAAGTGCTCGCAGTTGTTCCACAGCAGGCTGTAGGACACCCCGCCGACCAGCCGCTCGGCCCGCCGGGCCACCTCCTCCCCGGGCAGCGGGCTGTGCGGCACCGCCCGGTCCATGGCGTTCAGCAGGATCCCGGCTCCGTACGCGAAGTCCTCCACCGAGTCCACCCGGATGCTGGCGCGCTTGGACAGCACGCCGAGCAGCAGCCGGCTGTTGGTCACCATCTGCTGGATCTGCCGGCTGTCGGAGCTCAGCACCGGCAGGATGTCCGGGATCAGGTGCGCCACCCGGTTGTCGCCCAGGTAGATCCCGAAGTGCGTGAAGAGGGTTCGGGGGACCTCCAGCAGGTCCCCGCGCTGGAACCTGTGCGGGGCAGCCGCTGCAGATGCTGCTGCTGCTGCGGGGGGCTGCGGGAGCGGGTCCTCCCGGTCACAGCTGCGGGCCAGCTGCGGGGGCAGCAGGCTGAACAGCTTGATGTGGGCGAGGAGGAAGAGGCGCTCCAGGAGGAAGGTGAGGCTGTCCAGCATGGCGGCGGCAGGATGCGGGTCCGTCTGGCTCCGAGTCTGAGCGGTTACCCGCGGGAAGCCCGCTTTTACTGCGGGGGCGTGCGGGAGAGGAGCGCGCCCCATGTGTGTCACAGAGAGGGAGGGGATGAGATACTGGAGACCAGTTAACCCAAATAAACCAGTTAAATCAGTTAAGCCACAACCTCCCGATCTGTTTATCCCTCCAATTATCCATCCATCCATCCATCCATCCATCCATCCATATTTTCACATCAGACCAGGAGAAACCAATGAGATTCTGACAAACATGAACTTTAGACCCGCTCTGAGGCTCCGCCCACACGAAGGTGAACAAGGTAAATTTTTGTAAACGATAAAGAGAAAATTAAAAACAGGATGCAGCACCGTAGAAAACGCTGTTGTGTGTCTGCCAGGCCACTTGGTGGCGCTGTAACTCAGCCACAGAAGAAGGCAGACAGAGATGGAGCAGCGATGTCGTTTTAAAAACGCGGCTCGCATGTCGACACTGAAACATGAAACTGGAGTTTTGAACTTTTTCTACTTTTCAAACATTTTTCAAAATAATTTCTGGTTAAAATGGCGTCCGTGGATTTCCAGTTTAAGTTACCAAACGCCTTCATGGTGTCTGTGTGGGCGGGGCCTGAATGCAGCAGGTTTTATCCGTCTTAATGTTCGGCTCCTGCTCCACGTCTTTAAAATCCACCTCAATGTGTCTCCAAAGCTTTTCTGGAGTCAACAATCATAAAAACTGAGAGATGAAAACAGGATAAATAATTGATTTGATCTGCAGTGAAAGCAGATCAGGAATGCTAAAGTAATAAAGAGTTTAGTTCATCGTGTTTCAGTTGGTTCTGGTTCTGTTTGGCTCCTCAATGTCATTTTAGCCATAAAAAAAATCGATGTTCTTGACATTACAAATAGAAAGACTAATTTATACAAAAAATTTGATGTTCTCTCATCATTATTAGCATCTATTTTACTTTTCAGGATTACAGTAGAGTTCTCCCCTGACCGCACATCGCTGATCCAGAGGTGGCCATGAATCTTTTGTTTGAAATAAATAAGTTAGTTGAGTTTTAAAACATGAATGAATGAATAAATTAACATTTAAAAGATCTTCAAGCTTGTCAAATGGATAAAGTGCCACGCTTCCTTCAAGAACCAGTCATGGTTTCGTGTAGGTTGGTTGACCTTCCCTGAACCCGGTGCTGACGCCTCTGCTGTGGTTTGCTAAGGTTGTAACAGAAACGCCTCGGCTTGCAGCCTGATGCCAACCAAACGTTCCTGAGCCGTAAGTCAGAGCAACAAATGTTGTTGACGCCGAGACGTCAGCAGCTCTGTGGGAACCGGGTCAGGCCCACTTCCTGTTCACACCTGGAACATCCTGGACCATCCATCCTAAAGAGGCCGTTCACACCTCATAATGACCTCTGACCCCGCCTTCTGGCTTCACACTGTGTCCTGGAATACGACGGAAACAGACGTTACTGGAACAAACTTGTTTAATGAACGGCCGATCCTGTGAACTGATTAAATGAACTGAACCGAGTTGTTAGATTCAGTAAAAGAAGGAATGATTCAATGATGACATCACAGGGCTGTTTCTGGTAACCACAAAGATAAAATCTACTGAACAGTCTGATGTAAAAGTTTCCATTAATCCCTTTTCCTGTAAATAAACATCACACAATTTTATTGTCACGCACAAATCAGCCAATCACGTTGCAGGAACTCGACAGCTCAAATGGAGCATCAGAATAAGGAGGAAAGGATTTAAGTTGATCATAAACTGCTGATCTTTGCTGTTTTTATTACATACAGTCATCCTAAGATTTACAAAAACAGAAAAAATACCCAGCCGACATTTTGTCCTGGGTCTAGAAAAGCAACGTTGAAGCATTTGAGCTCCAGCAGCAGGAAACCAGACCACCTGCTGGAGCAGGAACACACTGATGGTTGGTCAGGATTCAGCAGAGGAAACTTAAAATCTGTTACAAACAACTTAAAAAATCAAAACTATAGCAAACAGATGTGATGCTTACACTTCTGAAGGAGTCCCTCAAACGTTAGCCTCATTTTGATATCAAGGTTATTGAAATAGTTTGTAATTGCTGAGAAAAAACTGGATGTTATTTCAGACAAACCCTGTGAGGCTTAAATAATGTAAAACAAGTAAATGTTGGACCTTATAGAACCGATCCAGCACACGTCTCTCTGTGTGAATGGAAACAGTGAAACCTGCCTTCATGTCTGAATCTGGGTTTGATGCACTGTTTCCAGCTGACCCTTGTTTTTTCTGATTCAGCCCCAGAGAGAACAAACCAAGCTTTGTGTTTTAAATTGCGGTTTCATGTTCATGATGGGTTAAACCGTCTGATTAGCTAAAAGCTACTTGTGATTCACTTCTCATTTTTGTTACCAAAGCTTTTCTTCCGTCTTCCTCCGAATGGCAGGAGGGGATTTCGAAGGATTAGGGGAAGATTATGGAAACGGACCGGGACTCCTGCGGTGAGACTCCGCCCCTCTGACTGGAGCTGAATGAGTGAGGAGAGATGAGATCTGAAACGCTGAATGGTTGTGTTGATGTGACCCCGACTGAGCGGCTGTGAAGAGGTGAAAGGAGCCGAGTGACGCCTCAGACCGCAGCTGATCCTCTCACTTCAGGACGGATCAGGTTTCAGGATTTAACACGACCTGCTGCACTGCAAAAACACTCTGGTCCAGTTTCTAAGTTCAGCAAACTTCAAATAAGACAAAACTAAATTACAAGCAACGTTTCAGCAAAATATAGGGAATGTTTTAAATCAATAATTCCTTAATAATGATGAAAAAGTACAGCTGTAGTTTCCCTGGCAGATTATTGAACTTATAGTAAGACATTTTACCCATAAATTAACTTTAAAGTTACTTTGTCTTATTTCAGTTGTTCACCAGAAACTAGACCAAAAATACTCGGCAAGATTTTGTTTTTTTTTTGCGGTCAGGAAACTAAGAAAATATCCGACTAAATCACTTTTATCTGCTTTTGTAATTAGTTTTGTTTCATCTGCATCATTTCATATGAGCACGTTTGGTTTTTGGAGCTCTAAACAGATAAATGTCTCCTTCAGAGTCCTTAGAAAGTTTGTGGCCAGTAGTGAAGAGTGTTGATGTTTTTTGGTGTTATTTGTAGCAGCCTGAGTCTGTTTGCAGATGCCAACCAGCAGCTGTGAAGTGACATTTCATTTCTAAAGCTGCATTTTCTTTAGAATATTTTCAATTTAAGAAAAAATGTGTAAAAGCTGAACAATTTGGAGTTAGGTTCCACAGAAAAATACTCAACCACAAACAGTTTGGGGTCCAATAATCTGAATTTATGGACGATTTACGTTTAAATGTCTTCACAGCTAAACCTGGATTTGATATTTTATACAATTCTTATGTAAAAATGTTGTAAAACATTAAAAATAAAGAATAAAATAAATGTGGCAGTGATGTTTCCATTGTGAATTCCTAAAAGTTTTCACAAAGAGCTTCTGAAGGCTAATTAAACTCTGACATGTAGAAACAATAAGGAGTAAATCATTAGAAACTGGAGGACAATAAATGAGTTTTACCTTCATTTGTTCAGACAGCTTTAATTGTTCTTCAATCCTTTTCATGGAGTCAAACTTTGGAGAGCAAAGTGACAAATAAAACCTGGAGGCTGTTTTAGGTTTGGACACAAAGGGGCTGAAATGAGGACAAAGAGGGAAGATAAACGAGCGACCAGACGTAATTTATCTCCTTTTCTCAGCCGTGACGGCGTGACAGAAAAGTTTGATTAATCTGAGTGTCTGGCTCTTTTGTTTGCAAACCAAATCAGACATGCTGCTGTAAAACTAGCCGATAAAACAATGGCCGAGTTCACAGTGGAGCAAACCGTTCCTTTAGCACATCCCACACATTTCTGTCCAGGAATCTGGGAGCTAAATCCCCAGTTAGCCTTTTCTGACGGCCATTAATCAGCCGCCACTAAAGGAAGCTTCTAGCATCGAATACTTCTGGCGATAAGCGGAGCAAGTTGGCAGGAATCCTGTTCAAAGTCGGAATGAATGGATTATTGTTACGTTTGTCTGCAGAAACCAGCTAAAGACGATCAGCTGGATAACCTGAACAATCTGCAGGAAGCAGCTTTATGTTCAAAACATGATTCAGATTTAAATAAAAAAGTCCAAGACAAGGAAGAAGAAACTTTAGTTTTGGAAATAACATCTTTAATTTAATCAGTTCATCTACAAAATCACTTTCATACATCATGCATTAAAGGCATTTAAACAATCAAAAGCTGTGAACAAAATTAATTTCTACATTGATTAAATAAAAAAGGCAGTAGTGTGAATCCGATTTTCTTTAAATGCTGCTTAGATTTCACATTTAATCATCACATGATGTTAAATTATGAGGTTAAACTAACTATAAAATCACTCGTTTGTCAGGTTAGACAGTTTTACTGACAGAAATCGGTTCCTCTGAAGGCCTCATGCTGAGTAAAGTGCTGCGGCTGATGTGAAATCTGGCAGTCGTTTGAGTTCATGTGGAAAAAAGGAAACGTTTCGTCCAGTTTCATTAAATCTCATTAAAATAATAAAATGTCTCTGGTGTTCCACAGGAATCAGGTCTCCAACGGTCCTGAAACCTGGAAATTATATTCGTTCTAAATACTGTAAGATATAACGATCAGTTACACAACCAGCCTCTGTCAACAGTACCGTAAATTATTTTTAAATCTTTTTAATAGCACTTCTTTATAAGAGTCAGTGATTAGCACCTGTGAAAAGCAGGGATGTGTCGGTAACTGCCTGGATCGTCATGAAGTTTGGCACAGACAAAACCCAAACCTGAACTGTTTTTAGGGAGACTTTCCAATCTGTAATCAATAAAATCGTTGCTCTGGATGTAAACGCCGTTGCTCCTGGTGGCAACATGTTGGAGATCTGACTTCTCCCGTTTCTGGTCTTCTGCTCGTCGTCGTTTTGGTTGAGTTGCTGAATGTTTGGGCGATTATCAAGGAGGATTTTTGTTCTGTTTACTTCTGAATGCGTAACCACGGCAACGAGGTAGCGTTTTTCTCCAAATGAGGTGGATTGATTAGCAGCGCTGCCTGGATTTGGAGCTGTTAGCTTAACGATTATCTGACTGTTGTACGGCAAAAGTCTTCAGTCAGAGGCCTCTACAGAGCCGCTTCAACACTGACTGCTACTGGAGTGTCTCCCACAGCATCACCATCAAAATGACTCTGAAGATACTTAAGACAGGATTTAATTTCCCTTTGAGAAACAAAACGCATTTCTGACTTGGATTGAAAATTCTTCTGTATATTCAAAGTTTTGCTCTTTTTAATAAATTCAGAAATGAAACCCTAATTCATAAGATGTAGGAAATATAAATAACTAAAGAAAATGTGTGTTTATAAGTTTATAAAAGGTGGATTATTTCAGTATGACTCTTGTTCTGTGTTTGTCTGCAGCTCTTAATTTTGGTAAATATTTATGGCGTTCCACAGGGCTCCATTCTTGGACCTTGTTTTTTTTTCTGTCAGAAACACTGACGTAAATATTCAAAACCATAAAATTACAAAAAGGATCTCAATTTTTACAGTGACATATGGAATCATTTCAAGAACAGAGATACAATTACGCCACATTGCAAAAGATCTTTTTCAATATTTGCTTGAATTTACTGCTTTTGTTTATTGTCTTCACCTGTCAAGTTTAAATTTACATAATTTTCTGGTTTCTTTTTGAGACGACCGAGTTACAGAGATTTATTGTTCCAGTTAAAAGCTTGGACCGGTTCTGAAGAAATTCCCTTGAGGTGTTTCAGATCTGAGAGAGAACGGGATGACACACACACACACACACACACACACACACACACACACACACACACACACACACACACTCACGTGGGCAGGGTCAAAGTGTGTCGCTGACGACTGACGGCGGAGATGTTTGGGATTACTGGAGACCCGACCCAGATCCCGGCTCTGGGGAAAGTTTATTATGACAAAACGAGGAGAGAAATAACCAATCAGCAGATCCGTGGAACGCCTTGTTGTTCCTGGGAAGGAAAACGTGGGACAGATGTGAATCCAGACCAGTTTTAGTCATGAGGCGCTTTCGAATGCAGAGTGGTGACGGCTGTGGTTTTATGAGAACAAGCACTTAAAGATTTTACTGTGACACCCAGCTCTGCATGTCTTGTTGCTCTGAAACAAAGATCTGAACTTTCCCCTGAGTCCTGATTTACAGCCGCCTCTGAATCCTGTCTGTAGAGTTTGATGGGTCGATATTTATTATGTTCCACTGTCAGACGAGGCCTTTGATAGTCTGTTCACTGAGCCGCTGTTTATTTATTGTTTCAGGGAGGCTGCTCAATGTGGCTTCTTTTCTGTTAGTCACCTAACTTTCTAAAAAAAGAAACAAAGTGTGTGTATGTTTCACATTTTCTGGTTCTTGGAGTGTTTTGGTGAGAGGTAAACAGGACGGTAGCTGAAGAGGTTCCCTGGAAACGGAGGAAACTTTGGAGAAAGACGTTTTGGGAGATGATTCAGTCTAAACTGCAGAGAGACTCCGACTCCCAGCTTCAGTCTGGTTGCAATTATGACAACAGAGACGGAGCGCGGCCGAGTCTGGCGGTGGAGAGAGAGAGCCTCGCATTCCTCCTGAACATCAGAGCCGGGTCGGGTCGAGGTGAACCAGACGCCGACGTTCCTGTCGGATGAGAGCGCCACCTCTGATATCTGCCTGGAGCATCTTACGAGGAAACCCAAACCAAAACTCTCCAGTGCTCAGGTCAAAGGTCAGCTCCCCCGAGGCAAAGCATGGCTAAGAAGGCAGCTAAACCCAAGACTGAGGGTGCAGAAAAGTTAAACCGTTTCTGTTTTTCTTTGTTCTTTAGCAACAATCAGTCTCCAGCTTAGAAACATCCAACAGAGACTGATGCTTCCTTCACAGTATCACTTACTGTCCAATAACTTGTTGCTTTTTACAGTTTCTGCATTTTGCATTTAAAAGATTAAAGTTGTATGATGATAACTAATGTAAACATAAGAGGTTGGCAGCTATGAGTAAAAGCAGAAACGGTAGATAAAGTCACTGAATCGTGTTGCATAGAAGGATGAGGCGTTAAGGCCGACACACAATGACCAGCTGAGGTCTGAAATATTCCACATATCATCTTTATCAGCTGCTCTGACAGAACAAAGCTTATTATTAAAAAAATGATTTGATAAATGTGGAGATCTGGACTTGACCTGTAAATCAGGATTAGCTAAACATGCTATTATCTCCACCACCTTCAGTTTGCAGAGGTTTACCTGATTTACCAGCATCTTCTGGATCAATATGTTTGTAATAATCAGGATCTTGTGTATCCTGTGAATTCCCACAGCATTTCAATCCTCCATGCTGATTCTGAGTGAATTATCACTTACGCTGATGACGGTTTGATTTTTTCCACCAGAAACAATGGCTGCCTTTGATCAGATTTAATGTTTGCTCCGGTGGGAAATAACTGCAGCTCAGTGGTAATAAAATAATCTAAATTAATGCTGGGTTTGATTTTAGACGCTTCAGTTCTTTTGACAGTGAAGTTAATTTATTTTAAAGCTTTCGTTTACTCCCTAATTTCAACAAGGCAAAAAGAAACTCACATATTTTGAACTTTGTGAATTTGGCCCTAAAGTTTCAGAGCCTGACTTTACCTTTGCTTTGAATAATTTGCCATGAAACTGAGCCGTCCAACATGAACAACGGTCATCCAAAGCCAACCTGACTCCATACGTCAGCAGAGTTTGTCTCTGGTTTCCTCTGTGGACCAAAGTCTGGTGAGTCTGTGCCAAATTTCATGCTATAAACAATAGTTTTTGTATTTCAGTTGATCTGAAGGTTAAATGATCATTTGTGTTCCTGTTGAGGTAAAATGTTTGTGTCCACCTTGGTGTCTCTCAGTGGGACGTTCAGTCCACCAGGGACTTCAGGTCTGGCAGTCCCTTCAGCCTCAGGTCCAGCAGCATCTGTCCGTAGGCTTTTCCCTGGGAAGACCAAACAACAAGCTCTCAGCGTGGGAACCCAACCAACACTTCGCAGTGTGTGTGTTTGGCTGTCTGATCTGTGTGTATCGGCACGTTTCCATTCTTTTTATTACATCCCAATAAAAATCAGCTTCAGATTTAATCTGCACCAGTTAAAGTTACAGAGAAATCATCTAGACTGCAGAGTCACACGTTCCTCTTCAGACTCCAGATTCTTTATAACACTGTCTCATATTTTACCCATAGTGCTCCAGTAACTCCACTGTCATAAAGGTTAACCAAAGCTTTAGAGACATGATGTTTAAACATTGATAGATTTGGTATGACCTCATCTTGTTACGCGCCCAATTTTTACGGAAACGTCAGTTTTAGATTCGTCGAACTGCAGGACGTCTCCAAAAACTGAAATCTTTGTTCCTGAGTTCATTTCCAAACTGTAATCAGGATTTTCAGCTTCTATGCACCACAAATCTGGACCAACCTCCAGAAAACTGTACAGCAGCCGAAACACAGAGTTCCTTTCAGTCTAGACTAAAGCCCCGCCTGCTAACGTTGCTTTTGATCCGTAATGAACGAAACACTGACCAACACATCCGACGTGTTTTGACGATTTTGATGACTTGACAAAATGAAATGTTTGTTTCTGTTTCTCAGTTTTATGACTTTATTTTCCTGTTTTTATGATCTGAACCACTTTGAACTGCCTTGTTGCTGAAGCAACACAAACAAACATGATTGATTGTTTTAATGTTGCTTTGGGAGTCGTGGCTTCTTCCTCCCTGAACGGCCCTTCAGCAGCGTCTCTCGGGGTCTTTTGTCCTGTTTCTGTTCATCTCTGACACAGAACCAGAACAGTTCCTGCTCAAGCTGCTTATATGAACACATGAACTGGTAATAACACGGAGGAATCAGACTTATGGGTGTCAGAACTCTCTTTTCTGATATCTTGGCTGATTTTCCCATAATGCCTTACAAAACCTCCGCAGGTTTGGCCTTATTTAACTCAAATGGAGCTGCTGAGCCACAACATCCTCATCTGGGCTCCACTAATTGTTTAAAGGCTGATTCATCAAAGTCCATGTCAACTTCTGACATTGAAGGCACAAACAAAAGGAAAACAACATCCTTTTCTTATTACTGTGGCATTCAGCAAAGTGAAACAACATTCAGGAACGCTGAGTGTTTGTCAGCATCTGAGCTGAATTGGACATAAACCTGTTAATAAACTGTTACCACGTTTTTCCTTCCATACGAGACTGAAACAGAAACAGCCACCAAATGCAGAACATTTCACGTTTCAATGCAGCTACTGTCTCAAAATCCTCGACAAATCAACTTTCTTCTGCTAAAACAGGAAGTAATGTGATAAAGAGCAGAACCAGCAGTCACTGGGTCTAAACTCCACCAGGGCCATCTGACTGGGAACGCCGAGTCCTGCAGAAACATTTTGATGTCTGAGACCTAAAACTGAAGCTGCTTAAATAAAACTAAATGAGTGTTTCAGTCAAAGTTTCACTTTGGGTTGAACATTTCGCTGTAAAACAATAAATGTAGCTCATAAAATGTAAATGGAGATTGTGTCTCAACATGCCAGTTAAGGGAGGTAAAGTCAATAATTTGCCTTTGGGATCAATAAAGTGTTTCTGAATTTGATTTTGTTGGAAGAACTGAAGGTAAAAAAACACCAAACAGACAAGACTTCAAAGCTTTTAAAGGTGATAAAACTCAACTTTTATTATTCTGTGTTTCAGAGTCATTTTCCATCAACTGAAAACCAACAATTAAAAGTTTGACATTAAATTTAATGGAACATAGTAAAACCTCAGTCTTGTTCCTGCATTTATGTTGAAGTTATTAATTGATAAAATAACTTTTCTTGCTCCGTTAGAGAGAACCAAGTTTCAGGACGTTGAAATTTGAGATTAAATTAAACATTTTGCTGGATTTTTGTACCATTTGGGTTTTTAATGCTTCTAAAAACAAAGCAAGCGTTTAAAATAATCACCCAACCAGTTTCTGACAAAAAACCTTTTGGTGTCTGAAAAATGGACCGTTTCAAAAACGTCACAAATCAGAAGGCACTGCCCTGTTACCTAGCAACCCCAGAAGCCCAGCCCGTTACCTAGCAACCCAAGTTGAGCTTCAGCATGTTTGGTCAGCTGGTTATAATGGCTGCTGGAAAAGACAAGTGTTTTGTTGCTGACTTAGCATCTGGACACCACTTGCTGCATTCTTATTGGTTGTGCAGGAGGCCCTACTTCTGCTTTTCGAAGATGTACGGTTGTATAATTGCACATCTGTTTGTCTCCATTTTTGCATGTGACTAAACGTTGAGTTAGAGGGGCGTGGCCAGCAGCAACTTATTTGGATTTAAAGTGACAGAGGCCCTAAAAACAGCTCATTCTAAACAGAGTTGACTAAAATCTCATCCTCCAAGAATGATGTGCAAAAATGTAATGAAGACGTTTTGTGTAGACCACAGACCTGTCCTAACCTGTTCAACCCTTTAAGGTTTTAGTCACTAATAAGATTTTAAAGGTTCAGTAGAAAAGCCAGAGTGTAAATGACCGTGGCTTTTTCTGTAACAGGTTTTCTACTTGTTGCTTTAGCTGCAGCTCCCTGACATTCCTCACTGCTGAGTGGATCTTCAGGTGTCTGGACACGTTTAACCTTTGATGTGAGAGGAGAGGTGGTGAAAACAAGGACAGGAAACGGAAACGGGTCCGAAAACAGCTGAACAAGCAGAAAGCTGCTGTCTGTCTGCAGGTTTGGAGGGAAAACTTCAGGTAAAGGTTTGATACCGGGGTCACTTTGTGAAGTGAGCAGAGGAAGCTCTGACAGAGTGTGTGTGTGTGTGTGTGTGTGTCACCTGGGGGTCGCTGCGGAGCGAGGCCACCCCTCCCCCTCCCAGGGAACTCGTCAGGACAAAGTTGAGGCCGTGGATCCCCGGCAGAGTGTATCTGGAACCACAAACCCCCACCAGTGAGAACCAGAGCCCGGCTCATGCGCTCATGCCTGGGCGTGTTTTTCTTGGACCTGCTGTGGGACTTACCAGAAGTTCATGTGTGATGAATGAACGGCTGAATCACGACTACAGTGCAACACGTGTGTCTGTGCACGGCGGCGAACTGCGACCTCCAGAAACAGAGCGGTGTGTGTCTGTAAGCGTTTAAAGGTGAGGCCGCCTGCAGCGCTAACGAGCAGCAGGCGCGCTAACGAAGCGTCTGTGGCGGCGGGGGGGCGGCCAGAGGTGTGAAAGGAGGCGTTGGTCAGTCGGATTTACAGCCTGAAAGGCTTTATTGGGCTAATCAGAACCACACCGTGTTCTGAGGCTGCGCTCCAGATTAAACACTCATTAACTCTGGAAGTTCAAACACCAGAAAGTTATAATCTGGTTCTCATTTTTGTGAATGTAACTTTAAAAGAACAACATGTTGTTTGTCCAACTAAGACACAGAGACAGAAACAAAGAGCTGCTGATCAAAAGCATCGATCGACATCGGAATGATGAAGAGTCACCAAAAACATCTGGAGTAACAGTAAACAGATCTCTGATGCTGATTATTAATCTGATTTAAAAACTTAGAGAAACAGAACACTGAGAACCCTGAAAAATACAAAACCTTACCAAATATTTGTGGTCAAGTTTCTATTGCAAATGTCTTAGTTCACTTCAAACAAGGCAAAACTTACAAGCATCATTTCAGCACAATATGCCAGCTTGTTTTAAGTCAATAACAGCTTAATACTGATGAAAAAGTACGACTTTTATAACATGGGAGGATTACAGGTGAAATAATCTGCCAGTGGAAGGAGGATCACTTTGGTGTTTCTGCTGCTTCTTGGTTTCAGCAGAAGTTTTCCTGTTGTTTTGATTCCTGGTTCCTGGTTCTGTCTCCAGGACGGCCCGGTGTGTCATTAGTGGGATTAAATCGTTTTTCATTTTGTCACAGATATAAAGTAGATCTACCAACCCGACCCCACCTGTGTTTGTGTTGAAACATTTTTCTGGGCCGGGAACCGGTTTGTTTAAATATTCAGCCCTGACTTCACTCAGGAACAAAGAACCTGGAGAGCTGAAGTGTGTTTTATGGTCTATGCTGAGTTCTCTGCATTAACGACTCAGCCTGGTCCTGATCCGACCCTCTGCACTCACCGTGTGACGGCGTTCTGCACTCCAGGCTCGATCAGGTGAGAGAAGTAGTCCTCCACCACAGAAGAAGTCAGGTGTTTCTTCAGGTAAGGGAAGTAGAGAGGATGGCGAGCGATCACTCCTACAGAGACACACGAGGATTCATTTCAGACTCATCTTCTCAGGTTTTATGCTGAACTAAGGTTAACAGCATCCTCACTTCTACACTTTATCTCAACCACCCGACCAGATGGAGATGTTTGTGCTTTGGGCCAATAAAGTGGTGCAGACGACAAAACAACAGGAATAGACTATCCAGCCAGTATAAACTGGTATAGATTAGTATGATTCAGTTTGTTTGGTTGTAAACTGGTTACAGACTGGGATAGATGGGTTTAACCAGCATAAACTGGAGCAAACTGATATTAACCCTTTACTGAATCACTCGGGGCGCCACGATGGAGGTGAGGGAGGGGAGGAGTGTTGATCAGAGGCTGAAACTGTCTTCCTAAGTTGTTTTGCCAGTTTATTAATAATAATTTATCTGTGAATGTAACTACCTGGTTGGGGCTCACAGACGGATTTACTACAGCTTGAACCAGCTAGCTCAGAACCCGACCAGAACCTCCTGACGTGTCACATGATTTACATTAATATGTCATCAACAGCGTTTCTTCTTACAGTGGAGCAGCATTAAAAACAAAACACGGGATGCTAGGCTACGTGACTGTGCAGCATCGTCTCCATGGTTACCAACGGTTAGACTCCTCCATAATGTAACATTATGTAATCCTGCTTCTTTATAGCGGTTATATGAACGTTAATCTTGTTACCTTGTAAAAAGTGTTGTGTCTGTTTGTGACCATTTTTAGGTGAAATCAACAAAGTGATATGAGGCTGAACTGGTTGTTTTGTTGTCCGTCATGGCGGAGTGGGCGGAGTTTTGAAGAGCGTGACGTCACGTGCATATAAACGCTGGCATACTGGTGCAGGGTGGGACAGCCTGGATTAAACTGCTGTATTTATTTTATTATGTTATAGTAATAAAGATCAGAACATGAATGCATATAAAAGATAACATTTAACTAACATTTCATGAGTTGTGGCCTCCCCTGCCCTCCATGTGGCTCGCTGAACGCTAAAAGCTGAGGAGTTCTCAGCATTCTGCATCTGGGTCTTTGGCTCCATTTAAATGCAGCGCTGAGGTTTACAAGTTCTCACCGATGTTTGCCGAGTCTCCTTTGTCCCCGCTGCGTGTGAATGCCAGGTCCTCCAGCCGGTAGGTGTGTGGTCCGCTGGGCAGGTCTGAAAGGAACCAGAAAGACCTGCGTGTTTGGCCCAGAAACTTGTGGTAAAACGGAGGCAAACACACATCCAGCCTGTTAGCTGTTTGTTCCCTGCCAGTGGTCCGCTCTGTCCTAATGCAACCCATTCAGCTCAAGTTGAAGGCTCTCAACAAACCATGAAAGCTCGTAAAAAGTTGCTAAGAATGTCAAGAATCTATGAAATGGGTGAAAAACAATGAGAGCACAAAGACATCTGTAATCAATTAGGAAACCTGTAACCTTTCCAGTAGCACGTTTGTCCTTTAAAATCACTTTAACTGGAGATACTTCATGTTTTATGGAAGTAGCTCCATAGCTCCTGTTCACTTCCACGTCATGCATATCTGAAAACGAATGCATGCATGAAAATATAAACACCAATAAGACTGCAGTCTGCATGCAGAGGTGGTCGGTGCTGCAGAGCTTTAACTGTTTGGTTTTGTAAAGAAGAGCAGCTTCTTAACAGTCTGAAGTTCTGCTGGGAATCTGCAGAACAAAACCGCGACTGAAAAGAGCGACTGGGTCAGAACCAGCAACACTTGTTCTGTTCCCAGAGGTAAAAACACACAAAGAGGATCCTGAATGTCTCTGAAGGGCTGAACAGCTCCAGTCTGACATCCTGCTTAAATACTTAAAATTATTTCAACATATCTTCAGGATGTTAAAGTTAGATGGAACTAAAATAAATCAACTGTCTATTCAACAAATACTTCAATACTGACGCTAATCCTGACGGTGAAGTTAAACTAATAACTCAATAGTTTCACACAATAATCACTAACTGAAACATCTGATACTGAAACAAATACTGGAGTTTATCTTCATCATCCATGTAAAACAATCTGGGTAAACATGAAAGACTTTACCAAGCAATTCATGATAATAATAATAATAATAATGATAATAATAACAATAATAATAATAATAATAATAATAATGATAAAATGAAAACAAGGTCTATTGCTTTGTCTTGTTAATGTGTTCAAAAAACCAGGACAAAGTCATGACTAAGATCTCACACAGACTTTACGACAATCTTATCAAGTTCTTACCAAGAACTAAATGAGAAATTAAAAAACATGGCAAACATGGTTTATCTAGATCTTATCTGGACATTACCAAGACCTTACCCCCCTCACCCTTTGATGGTAATGACCAAAGGTCATGACCTCAACATTACAAAGACCTGATGTTCTTACTCAGACATCCTGGATGACTTTACATCACAGCATCATCTCTATGCAGTGTGGAAACATCAGCAGCTGCATTGGATCTTAATGCCTTTTTATCTCTGGACGTCATTAAAAATGGCGGCCTCTTTCTGGACGTCATTAAAAATGGCGGCCTCTTTTTAAAGGCTTGAAAGAGGAACAAAAAGACTCTTTCCCAGAAACCCACAAGAAGAAATGACCAGGATATTGTTGATAAAATAAACTAACAGGAGTTCTTGTTGCCTCAGTAACTTCCTATAAACTGATCAACCAATCAGAACCAGAGGTTCTGGTCACTATGAACTTGGACAGGCTGATGATTCGACCAAATAAACATCAGATCCAATCAGGAGTTACTGGGTTACCTGTGTCCGGCGCGTCCTGATGAGAGGTGGGAGGAGCTTCATCCTGCACCTGCTCAGGTGAGTCCGGTTCGGTAAGTGACTCTACCAGTTCTCCAGCAACGTGGATGTTGACCTGTTGAATGTTGGAGCTTCAGGTGAAAATACATTAGACCTGGAGAGTTAACCTGAGACATGTTGTGTTGGTTTTCCCATAAACTCAGGAACGCCTGACAAGATCAGGCTGTCAGAGACAAACTGACCTTTATCTGGGATTTGGGATGTAGGAAGAAAAACGGTTTCAGGACTGGAGACCTGCGAGTATAAACAGCCTTAAACACGTCGACTCTCTCAGGTTTAACGTGAAACAGGGAGTAACTCACACTCTGGGTCGTCCGCCCACGATGCCGGTGAGTCCAGGAGCTGCAGGGTTTTATAGAGAAACAGAGAAACAAGATTTCAGGCCATCAGATGAGAGTCGGAACCGGCCGGAGTCAGGCAGGGTTCACTCCGAGTTGAAAAGGTCCGACCCGAACGCGGCTCAGGAGGTCGTAACCTCTGCTATCTGCAGCCAGCCGAGGAAGACCCAGTTCAGTAAACCTCCGTCTGGTTACTGGCCTCCAAACACCAACGACGGTTAATTAACGGCAGCGTGACTTCACCGACTGCACAGAAACATCCAGAAACGTCTGAATGAACTTTGGTTCACACTGTGATGTTTTCACTCTGCTGCAGATTAATGATAAGGAGGCTGAGGAGCCTTCCTATTGGTCACTTTATCTGCCTTATAAATAAAAGCAGCACTCTGCTTCATAAACACAATTACATAATCAGCTGTACAGTCTGATGGGGAACATTGTGTAAGTCACACTTCAGAAGTATTTGTTATTTTTACATGACAGACGTTACGGTTAGTGGCGCCTCTGCTGGTAACACCTGGTACTGCAGGTCAGCCTGTCTTTCCCATTTTGAAGTCTCACATCGCTCCTCTGCTCCAATTTAAGTTAGAATTTTTCTCAGTGTGATATGATACTGCTGCAATAAAAGATTAATTTAAGAGTGCCAATAAATACGGAGGGAAGTGAACAGAGCGGCAACATTTCATCTAACTCGTCTTCCTGAAGCCAACATGACGGTTTCTGATGCTGGTTCTTAACTTTATTTAGGACTTTTCATAATGACGACAGCCAAAATATAAAACACATCAAACTGGACGTCCCAATTTGATGAATCTGAGTTTCAGGAGACAAATTAAAACACAACCCATCACCTGAACTTTCCTCCAGAGGAACAGTTGGACTAGGGAAGCCTGTCCTTCACTGCTGAGGAAACATCAGGGGAAAATGTCACAGAAAAGACGCAAACATCGACTCGCATCTGAACTTTACGGGATTTTTATCAGATTTCACCAGATTAATTACAGAATTTATCAGATAAAGGATCCTCAGAGCCACCACATCGCCGGAGGATCGTCATGACAACGGGACGGACCGACAGAGACATGTGATCAGTTCTACGCCACTTCATTGGCCAGAAACACAAACTATAGGTTATGCTTAAATTCACTAGAGTTAAGATGAGTCTGTTCCTCACATAATCAGTTAAATCAGGGTTTCACGCTGCAGAAATGATAAACTTTAACATCTCTATGGTCCAGTTTCTGGTGCAAATATCTTAGGACACATGAATTAAAGGGGCAGTACCAGGTAAAATCGACTTTTTCAGGTTTGCATCATGTTGTAATGTTATTCCCTCATCATAAATATACCTGGAGTGTTGCTTTGATTATTTCACGCATGTTTGAGAAATCCTCTAATCTCCATGGCAACCATTCAACTGTAAAAACACCTGGGTGGACCTAGCCCCGCCCTCAGGACGAAGCTCCTCCTCAGAGCTTCAGTATCACAGAGCAGCTCCTCCTCTGTTGCTCACACACTCAGCTCCTTCAGACTAGCAGCAGCAATTAGCTAGGGCTGTAGGATAATATCGATATCACGATATATATCGATATTTTCTTTCCTAGAAAAAAAATCGATATTCATCCGCAAGTATCGTAACATCCAACTGTCATCTTGCTCACTCACTGCTCGCTTCGCCGGGAGAGTGAGTTGGTCATCAGGCTTAGAGTGATTCCTTCAGATGTTAAGTGTCGAGGTTAAAAAGGTATCAAACTATTCAGAGCAGGGTACTTGGTGCACTTTATTTACTTTATAAATCCATATAAGCTACAGTTTGTACTGTTTCAATTAAAAGGAACATNT